GCGTACCTGGCTTACATCAATGCGAAGAGCCGTGCAGAGGCTGCTCTAGAGGAGGAGAGCCGGCAGAGACAGTCGCGCATGGAGAAAGGAGAGCCCTACATGAGCATCCAGCCTGCGGAAGACCGCGATGATTACAATGATGGCTTTTCCATGAAGCACACGGCCACCGCCCGTTTCCAGAGAAAACATCGCCTCATCAGTGAAATCCTCAGCGAGAGCGTGGTGCCCGACGTCCGGTCAGTCGTCACCACCGCTAGAATGCAGGTCCTCAAGCGCCAGGTCCAGTCCCTCATGGTGCACCAGCGAAAACTGGAAGCCGAACTTCTTCAGATAGAGGAACGGCACCAGGAGAAGAAGAGGAAATTCCTTGAAAGCACAGATTCATTCAACAACGATCTCAAAAGGCTATGTGGGCTGAAGGTGGAGGTGGACATGGAGAAGATCGCGGCAGAGATTGCGCAGGCTGAGGAGCAGGCCCGCAAGCGGCAGGAGGAGCGCGAGAAGGAGGTGGCGGAGCAGGCGGAGCGTGGCCAGGGTGGCCTGGGCCCCGAGGAGGAGCAAGCGCCCGGCAAAGCCTAGGAGAAGGACGAGGAGAGCCTCCCGATGGAGACAGAGGAGTCACACCTGGAAGAGGCAGCAGAGAGCCAGCAGAACGGCGAGGAGGGCATGTCCACACCCGAGGACAAGGAGAGCGGACAGGAGGGCGGCGACAGCCTGGTGGAGGAGGGGACCAGCGACAGCAACACCGGCTCAGAGAGCAACAGTGCCACTGTGGAGGAGCCGCCGTCAGACCCCATCCAGGAAGATGAGAAGAAGGAATAAATGTTGCCTTGTTTTATGTGTCCTAAATACTTTTTTAAATGAAAAAAAAATGTTTTCAGTTTTAATGGTATTATGTGGTCTATGTGTTGTTTGTCCATATTGTACCACCAGAGTCTTTGGACCCTGAGCGTCCCAAGCCCAGGGCACAGCCATGGCCAGCTTTCTAAGGCTGTGAAGATGGCTCGTCTGGATCTCATTGCTTGCCCCAGCTGCTGAAGGGCTCGGAATCTAGATTGCGAGACACCCAGCTCTCCAGAGAGTGACCTTCGATGCTGCAGGACTGCCAGAGGCCTTCTCCAGCTCACTCGGTGCTTACCAAAGCCATAGCTTTAAACCTGCCCCATCCCCACTGGCAGCCCCGAGTCCCCTCCTGTGTACGCCTGCAGAGACTCCTAAGGATCTGGTCGCCTGGGAGCGAGTGTGTTCACCTTCCTG